GCCTTGAGTACCCGAGAAACTCCTGTCATGTCAGGCTGCCGAGATTTTGGTGTGTCTTTGGTCACGTGCCGCAGCATAAGCCTAAATCTATCATGACTGACGCAGACCCAGAGGGTAAGAAGCAGCGTGGGGATTCAAACCCTGAGCCTTTACCCAGCATCCTCCAAGAGCTTGCTGGAGTGCTGGGACAATGACCTCAGGTTGAGCCCCTGGGTCATACTGAGTATGTTTAACTCCTGCTCGCCCACAGGATCAGCTCTACAGAGACACGAATGCTACTCCCTTAAGGACACTGGATAAACTGCCACATTCAGCCTCTGAGCACGGTTTAACTTCTACCATCCCCAATCTAGTGCTCTCATGTGCAACACTTTAAGCTGCACACGTTGATTAGGCTACACAGCCAAGCCTTCTTCTGACCCCTTTCGGCTAATTTGAGCTTCTGAGAACACTGTGCGTTGGCTCTGTCAGTCTGCATCCTAGTCGTACCTTGTACTCTCCTCTATGTGCTGTATACATCTGCCACTTTTTTTTTTGAGACAGAGCCTTGCTCTGACTTCCTGGGTACAGTGCAGTGTTGTGATCATAGCTCACTGCAACCTCAAACTCCTGGGCTAAAGCAATCCTCCTGCCTCAGCCTCCCAAGTAGCTGGGACTGTAAGTGCACGCTGTGATAACTGGCAAATTTTTCTTTTTGTAGAGATGGGCTCTTGCTCAGGCTGATCTTGAACTCCTGAGCTCAAGTGATCCCCCACCTCGGCCTCCCAGAGTGCTAGGATTACAAGCGTGAGCCACTGCACCCAGCTCCTCTGCAGGCTTAATCTGGATACCTGGAGGGGGATATTAGAGAGGGAACTGGAGGCTTCATTCCAATCTCAAAGATTCTAGAACCCTATTGATGTAGCTAAAAACCTGTCTCTATGCCTATGGAAATCAAAGTGTAGAAGACCTGGCCCTGTAGCTAAAGGAATGTTTTTGAATAACTGTAAGGAATCACAGGACAATGACACTCTAAGGGACGTATCCTCAACTCAAATGTCCACAGGGGCCAGCAGGGTGACAGAGAAGAGTGAAGCTGGCCAGTGGCATCTTGTGTCCAACATGTTGTCTGGAGAGGGGAGTTCTACCTAGTCTAGCTGACTGACAGCCAGTGGGAAAACACAAGTGTAGCCATACCTTGACACTTTTGTTAGGAGCCAGATCTGTGAATCTCCCTGTTTTAGACACTGGAAATTGAAAACTAAACAGTAAACATTAATCACAACCCCAAGGCTGATGGAACATGGCTGCAGGGCGGAGCAGACCAGCCCATCCAATTTGCACACTCTGCCCTGTGATACCATTTGCTGAGGGGAGCAGCGCTGGCTAGAACTAACGGTGCATATTGAGATATAGCAGAGGTCGAGTGATTTGATTTTGGCCTAGATTTGGAATGCAGGTTGAACCCCAGAGGACAAGTTTAAACTTAATTAAGGGGGAGGGGAAAACACGGACACTGAATTTAGAGTGGCTTGGGTTCAAATCCTTGCTCCCTGACTTAATAGTTGTATGATGAGCAAGTTGCTTCGCCTCTCTAAGTCTTGGTTTCCTCATCCATCAAATACAGAATAAACCCTCACAGGGTCATGAAAATTAAGTGAACTCATAAATAAGAAAATGTCTGCTACTTGACAGGCACCTAGCTTATCCTACTTCTTCGTGTGAAAGGTTCGTAAGGCTGGGCACAGTGGCTCATGCCAATAATCTCAACACATTGGGAGGCTGAGGCTGGAGGATCATTCCAGCCCAGGAGTTTGAGGTTGTAGTGAGATATGATGACTCTAGCCCATGTAACAGAGCTAAACTCTGTCAATCAGTCAATCAATCAATCACTCAATGAAAAGGTGATTGAGGAACAGACTCCAAAAATGAGGAACAGACTTGGTGTTGATGAAAGCATTGTTTCAGGAAAGATGGCCACTTGGCAGTTTGGAGACTGGGGTCACGAAGACAGTCCCCACAGTGGGACCAATTTAAGAGGACAGGTGATTATTACCGTGTGGCCTTGGAGCCAAGCCCCTCCCCAGTGACACCACCATAAAAGCTGATCTTCTGGCCCCTCCACAGTTAAGGTGATGGACAGGGTACAACATGCAGTGTGGACAAAAGCCTGGCTCTGCCGCTGTCCTGTCTGTGCTCACTCCCGTCCTCAGCACCCTCAGGGAAGCCCGAAGAGGCAGCCCCGGGCCTCCCTGCCTGGCTCATCCAGACACGACTTGACTTCAAAACCAAACCTCGGTGTCAGCCTCAGACACGTCAGGCTCTGACCTTTGCTGGTCCCCACAGGCATCTCTCCTCAATCTTTAAGAGCCAAAGAAAGCCCGCAGAGTTCCAGGTAATGTTCTGGGCTGCTTTAGCAAACTCACCTTCAGGACTGCTTACAGCTTTTGAAAGCTTAGGAGGTTTAAGTTATTTGCAGGCACTTCTAAATCAAAATGTCCAAATGTATATGCAAATGTCCCTTGCAAAGAGACATTAAACATTTTTTCAGAATGAAAGTCTTGTCCTTCAGGAGCTGTTGGAGACACGTGTGCATCTATTTATTATAATTAGACTGTCATTACCAGCTTTCAAAAAAGGTTTCCTAAAGAAAAATGACTTTTAGTGTGCATTAGAATCACCTGGCGTGCTTGCTAGGCACTCTCCAAGCGCCTGCATTAGCAGGTCTGGGCTGGCGACGCATTTCTAACAAGTTCCAGGGTTGTGCTAATGCTGTTGGTCAGGGATTACGTGTTCAGAATCACCGTGGTAATGGATCTGCGGCACTTATGCAGTGGGTGACACATGATACAAAGGAACCTTCAACCCCCACCTCTTGATGGGTAAATGGAGGCAAAGGCAAAATGACAGAAATAGAATAAAACCACCATGACATTTTGCTATAGGAGCCACAACCCTCACTAAAAGCCAAGAGTTAAAACAGTCAGGACTGGGCCACGATGGACTGGCAATACCATCAGTCAAGCATCTAGGATGGTAACTGGAAATGTGCCAGAATGGTCTCCAGGAGCAATCGCAGATGCCACCTCAGGCAAAAGAACTGGCAGTCCTCCTCTCCCCAGCCCATCCCCATCTTAATGAGGATAGAGGTCTTAAATTAAGATCCTCATAACTGTGACAGGCACTTAGTGTTGGTAGTATTTATTCATGTCTTACGGAGGTTAGCTCTGTGTTCCACTGGGCTTTTTGCAAGTGGCAGTGGTTTTTCTAGCTACAGGGAGAGATGCCTACTGGCTTGAGGTCAGTGACAACTAATTTCTTGTTGAAGAATGAATGCAGCAAGGGCGTTTAAGGCGTGAAGCATTTTTGGTGACCTCATTGTCCCTTCCTCAGGGAACACACAATTTTTCCTAGGTTTGCATCACTAACCCACCACTACCCAAAGCTTGAGGACTAGTTGAGGATGCAAACAGGGTTGCCTGGTCTTCCTAAGGAGGAAGTAAAGAGGCTGGCTTTCTTCTCACTACCTTCCCCGCCTGCCAATCTGGGTGTTTACCCAGCGAATACAGGCATTTCTTCCCTTTCAGTGTGGCTCAGCCAAGAGCCAGAAGGTCTGCCTTCTGTCCCAACAGTAGTGGTGTGCCCAGTTACTTCTGCAATCTGATAATGTTCTGCTCCATTTTTTTCAAATGAAGTCATCTCTAGTCTAGGTGATTCTTAGTGGATATAACACAATGATAAAAACCAGAAACTTAGGCATATTTTAACATTTGGCATTTTAACATTTAACATCTTGGCATTTTTAACATTTTGAAAATTAGGGTGATTCTCATCAACTGGTTCAGCCTTCTCTAATAATGGCAAAAGCAGTGTAAGAACTGGCAAGGACCCCAAAATACCTGCCAAAAGATATATAAAATGTAGTCAATTGAGCATTTGAGGGCAGAAAGGATGAAGCTTTCTCTGGGCTGGTTGATTTTGCCTTTGTAGCTGGTCAACATGGGGTAGGCAAGGTGTTGGGAGGGTCCAGGAAAGTAGCTGCGCAGGTATCTCCCTTCCAGGTAGATGCCTCAGAGCAAGGGAGCTTCCCGCTGAAGGTCTGTGGGCCTGGAGAGAAGACACGCAGTCTGAGAAGCCTCTGCAAGCACAGACCTGGTGAGACTGGCCACTCCATGTCTGCCTACTAGTGAAGTGGAGAGGACTGCACGGTCCCTTCTCCATGTGTTGAGAACTCTGCTTGTTGAGGCCAGCAATCTGTTTCAGCTGGGTTCAGAACTGCACCTGCCAGGTGGGAAACAGACCACACTTCAGATATTAACTGCCACCTGCCCTAAAGGTGCTGCCAGCTTGCTTTAATGTGAGGGCACATGCTGCCAAAAGATATGAGTATGGCAGTGCAGTCCTGATTTAGGGGTATTTAGGGTAAAGGTGGAAGGAAACCAACTGAATTGGTTAAGATTCATAAGATTAGCAATATCCAGTAATGGACTCAACTAAGAACCAGACTCTCAATTTGAAGTAATCTTTCACATTATCCAAGGATTGCTATTCAAAGTATGTTCAGCTACCCAGCTGCACCAGTATCCTGGAAGCTTGTTAGAAACAAACGCAGGTCCCACCCCAGAACTTCTGGGTCAGAATATGCATTTTCCCAAGATCCCCAGGTGATACTTCTGCATATTCGACCTTGAGAAACACTGACATAACTGGCTGCCCTCAACTAAAGAATGGTATCACTAATGCTTCAGAGGAGGAAAGGAACTGGCTGCCCCTATCTAGCTATACCTATTCGCTTCAGGGAGAGAATAGTTCCAAGTTACGAGGGCTGTTCAGAAAGTATCCAGCCACTGTTAATACAACGAGAACAGTTACATGGCTGGATACTTTCTGGATAGCCTGTGTGTATCTACTAGTCTTTGCCACCATTAAATCATGTGTTGTGCACAGGAGTGGCATATAGGCAGAGGACAAAGGTCACCCTTCACAGACCTGGGGTCTAAAATTCAGTTGAAGCTTCAGAGTAAGTGTACCAAATGATTTTATTATAAAACTTAAACCATTTATTGACCATTCTAAAAAACACCACCATAAGAATAAAGTAAACACAGCCCAGATCACTAGCCCTTGCAGAACAGGAAGAAGCCCTGGACAGAGAGCCTGCAACTGTTTTTCCTCACACCCAGAGTCTGAGCTTCCTCACATATTCTAGGGTTCCAAGTTTTGTCACCTCTTATAAGGGAAAGGAAACTGGCTAGAAGATTTGTATACAAGAAGGTCACAACTTTAAAGCTATCTGATGGTAGTGGCTTGTACATTATAGTTTGCAACACTGAGAACAAAATCAAATAAGCATTGTCAAATACCTACTCCAAGCTACCCTACTGTCATTGTTCTTTGAAATTATCTTTGGGACTGATTATGTTCTTTCACCATAGCTTGTTTATCCCAGAGCACAAACCCTAAAGTCCATGCACAGTCTCCATGTTCAAATGTAAAAGTCTGTTTCAGGACAACCTCAGAGGTTGCTGTAGTGTTTCTCTCTGTAGTGTCTACTGGTATCACACCCTTGGAGAGGCTGGTCAAATGGCAGCACAGTGAAAGGGCAACACAGTCAACTTCCCCAATGCCAAACTTGCTCAGTCAATCTGGACACTGCCCACAGTCAAAGCCGAAATCTTGACATCATTGATGACCTTGGACCTATCTTCATTCTGCAGCTGTACTCTTACGTATATGAATCCACTTCATCACCATTGATTAAATGGCACTTTCAAAACGTGTCAGGCATATTCTAAAAAGAAAAGATAATCATATCAAATAAACAATCAAAAAAAGATAATCATATCAAAATGCTACTTTCTGATACTTTTATGTTGCTAAAGGAATTTACAATTAAACCAGAAAGACTTAAAATGAATGTTTTACAAGCCATAATGGACTCGAGGTCCTCTCCCAAGAGGTGCAAAAAGACCATCCCTCTCCTGAGTGCCCCACATGAGCCCAACGTGAGTCCAACACTCTCTTCCACTGTTAACTCACTGATCCTTGAAACACCCAGTCAATTCACCTCACTTACCGATTTATTAGGAATAAAAGGCATCTCAAGGAAGCTTAAGAGAACATTAATAGCAGAATGAAGGGATAAGGCACACCCCAATGGCCACCAACAATGGCTAAACATGCACTGTAACTTCACCATTGCTCATGTTTACTAATGTTTCCCAAAACCTGCATAAAGCATTTTTGTGCATCTATAGCTGTTTAAATTAAAAAAGAAAGAGTCCTCATAACAGAAGAATCCCAAGATAACTGACAGGGGTAAACAAACCCCTTCTAAGTACATGGAAACCCAGCAGAGCTCAAAGCAGACCCTGAATCCCATGTAGGATACCACTTTAGAATGCACTGCTTGATTCTATATTATAATTGCAAACCCAAGTTAACTCATGTCCCGGGGAGAGACTCATTTAAACAACTGAAAAAAAAAAAACCTAAGACTTTCATTTGAATTTCCCTCATGTACACCATCATCCCAGTTGGTTTCTAATGAAGCACCTATGCATAGCTTACATGTTTGGCTCTGGTGGCACAGAAAAGCATACATTTCCTGATACAGGAAAATGCTGATTAGTTCTCAGTAAAAACAAATCTTCATAGGAGGTGAAATGCATCTGCAGGCAATGCTTTCTGAATAACCCCCAAGTTACGGCCTACCCCCTTCCTATCCATTTTACACATCTACAAGCCAGAGATGGTTCTCTTGTACAAAGATGGGATACTGGACCTTAGGAAGTGTCCTGGGACGGAGCTGCAGCGTCCTGGCCTTCAGGCTCTGGAGGGGGTGCTGGCACAGCTGCTTTTTTCTGGGCGGCCAGGAACTCATGAATTGCTCGTTCTATTTGCGGCCTGAAGATGTGGTTTAGTTTTGGATCCACCACCTGAGAAATAATCCTGTCTACTCCAGCTTCCAACATGCCTGACCTTGTGGAGACAAACAGATCATTCTGTTATTTAGTTCCTCTGGGATTCATCTTTAGCCCCAACAAGCATCATGTGGGAGGCCAATAAATGTCCACCCAGCCAAAGCTACAGCCTGTAAGGGAGTTCTTTCAGAGGGCAATCCACTTACTACACAGAATTCAAACTATTGTATTTTTATTTCTGAGGCGCAATCCACAACCAGTAGCTATCTTTTATTTCTAATTTACTGTCTCATCCACTACCACCTCAGCCTTGTACAAGGGAACCAAACAAAACTAAGCAGACTGCCCCAAAGACAAAAAACAAGTGACAACATAGCAACAAAGAATCTGATGTGTGTAGAGCTGAAAACCTTAACCAATACTATCAAAGCCATTGAGCATTGAATCTGACTCCATTTCCTTCAATATTTTTTTTGGTTTTTTTGAGACAGAGTCTCACTCTGTTGCCTGGGCTAGAGTGCCATGGCATCAGCCTAGCTCACAGCAACCTCAAACTCCTGGGCTCATGCAATCCTGTCTCAGCCTCCCAAGTAGCTGGGACTACAGGCATGCACCACCATGCCCGGCTAATTTTTTCTACATATTTTTAGTTGGCCAATTGATTTCTTTCTATTGATTTCTTTTAGTAGAGACGGAGTCTCGCTCTTGCTCAGTTTGGTCTCAAACTCCTGAGCAAAAACAATCTGCCTGCCTTGGCCTCCCAGAGTGTTAGGATTACAGGCGTGAGCCACCAAACCTGGCCCATTTCCTTCTCTTAATAGCCAAAGCAGAAATAGCCTCCAGCTGCAACCTAGTTACCAATTCTTAAACCTTACACAAGGCATATCAGTCAGGGTTGAGAATGTTTACATCACCAGCAATTCAACACAGCCTTTAGCCGTGGCTGGCCCATTACCTATAACATATAATAAACAAGTTGGAATCAAACAAGGAAACAGACAAGAAACAAACTGGTTCTAAGCTTGTATAGGACTAACTTACACCCTTAAATCCTTTTTGAAGTAATGGAAAAATCAGTCAAGGTGCTGTATTCCAACACTTAGGGCAGGGTAATGAGAAAGATTATGGTGATGGGAAACAAATCACATTTGAAGAGTTTAGAAAACAGCCCATACAGGTTCAAACTCAAGTGCTCTTCTCAGAAGGATTAAAATACCCAAAGACCATCACAAGCCTGAGGGTAGGTTTTACCTATTTTCTTTTGGACTTGAGAAGTCTCAGGCTATTTAAGCTTTTGCTTGGGTAAAAATGGGTCAGGCAGTAACTGGGCAAATGGTCTGTCAGGGCACAGCAAAGGAAATGAATGGGCAAACGTACATAGTGACAAGAAAGACAAGAAACAGGCCCTGAACTGCAGATGCTGATTAGTGAATAAAGTGCTTCTTGGATTCCATGGTAACTAGCAGCTTACTGGCAGGGAGACTAGCTGGAAACGGCACCATCAGAGCACTGAAGGGCACACTTTCAGGCAGACCATGCCCTGGACAGTATCTGCCCTTAAAGGCGAGCATTGGGAAACACAGCAAGGTCAGCATCAGGCTACGGGTCAGTTAGGAAGAAAAGCCACCTCTTAGTCACAAGCCAATACCTTTCCAACGTCACCAAACCACTTCCTGAGTCAGATTCACAGGGGTCTTTATTGGATGCAAAAGCCTGGTATTATGCAATGTTGTGTCCCCCCAAAATTCCTATGTTGAAATCCAATCCTCAATGTGATGCTATGTGGAGGCAGCACCTTTGGGAGGTGATTAGGTCATGAGTGTGGGGCCTTCATGAATGGAATCTGTGTCATAAAAGGGACCTCAGAAAGTTAGCTAGTTCCTTCCTCCATGTGAGAAGAACCAGCAGTTGGCAGGCTGCAGCCTGGAAGAGGGCCCTCACCTGAACCCAACGATGCTGGCACCTGTTCTCAGACTCCTAGCCTCAGGACTGTGGAAAGTAAGCGCATGGCACTTTGTTAGAGCAGCCCCAACTGACTAAGACACCTGATCAGGGAAAACAAAGTACCAAGAAAGTATAGCTCACTTTCCTGGAGATTTTAAAATTGTTTGAGTAGAACGTGGAATCTTGTCAGGAGCCTAAAATAGAAGATGAAATGAATAAATATTATGTAATTAAAGTACTTATTATTCATAGTTCTGTTCTCTAGTAAAGTCTGATTTCTTGTTAAGCCCTCCAGGCTGCAGCACTGGGTTACAGCACCCAGGCCAATGCACCGAGGGCCTCAGTGTCTCCTGTCGGGAGAGCACTCCAGGGGCAAAAAGCAAGTCTTCATGTCAAAGCTCCAGCAGAGTCTGCCTCAAATTCAAAATGTAGCACTGGGAGAAATGTCCCAGTATTAAAGCCAAATTCATATTTTCAGGTTAAATACATTCTAAATCAAATCAAAAAGCATGACATGCATACCTCTAGAATAACATCAACACTCATTATGGAAATTAATATCATAGTGACAGTCTTTATAACACCAATGACAGCTTTCCTTATATTTCAAAATATTCAAGGTTTTGATTTACTCTCTTAACATGCTGGCCAATCCTTTAGAAGGTAGGGTAAAACAAGTTTATCTAATTTGTTACTTCAGCTGTAAAATGGGCTTTCTGTGAGGATGAGTGCCAGACATGTAACAAACAGTTGCTCAGTAAGGGCCAGCTACTGTCTGATTCAAGAATGACAAGGTACTGGGCATCTTCTGATATTATGCTTCTTCCCTAATGCTCAGCCATAGTTAAAGTGCTGACTTGTTAGTAACAAAAACCTTTTTCAACTTTTAAAAACTTTTAAATTTTGAAATCACCATAGATTCACAGGAAGTTGCAAAGAAATGTACAAGGAGCTCCATGTACCCTTCACACAGCCACCCCTAATGTCAGCACCCTGTATAACTATAGCACAATGTCAAAACCAGGAAAATGACACTGGTACAATCCAGACCTTATTTAGATTTCAGTTATATGTGCACTAGTATGTGCACACGTGAAGCTCCACACAACTTTTATCACATGAATTGTTTCATGTAAGCACTAAGACAATCGAGATCCTTAACTATACTTATCACAAGTTTTCCCCCGCTACCATTTTCAAGTCAACTCACCCCCTCCTCCCATCCCTAAGCAATCACTAATCTGTTCTCCATCTCTATAACTGTTAGCTCATGAATGTCAAGACCAGATTCCACAACCCACCTCCACTTTTGTGCCTAGTGACACTGAAAAGTCACTTGGATAAGCTATCAATAGTACCTTTATTAATTAAGCTTCAGTTTGTTACAGTGAAGGATGATGCTTTAATAAGACTATGCTTTCCTGAAAGCTGCCACTACACTGCAGAAGGGTAGCCATGGTGGACTCAAAGAATTTACTTAACTCACATTCACTGGTGAGAATAAAGATTCAAATACTGATATCTTGGGTGTAAAACTCACATGTATGTTCAGACTACACTGAAACTTCAAAGAGCAGGGAACATGTCTCAAATTTGGAGTATCTTTCAATGTACCCACTAGAAATGTGAAACACGGGAGGCGTACGCAGGCTGGATAAACGAATTTTAATTGAGTGCTTTGCTTACTTTGACCTTAATTTTAATAAAAGAGCAGACTACTGCAATTCCAAAGTGATATCTGATATAAGGTACCATCAACCTTGACTAAACAGTGACTCAGCCTTCTTGTGCATCGTTCTTGTGATTACTGCCTTTTCAAAAGCTCTAAATTCTGCTTACTTACTGAACCACACTCTGCCTCAGACCATTTCGCAACTGGTTTTTGTTCATTGTAGGATTCCATTCCTGCTTGTCCAGATGTGTTGACACAAAATTATCCACTTTCTGCCTCAGGTTTTGGTAAGCTGGCTAGAATGTTAACAAAAGGAGGCAAGATCAGAAGTTATATGCACCAAAATTTTGGAACACATTCAGAACACTGCTTCTCATAGAAATGTGTTATTTTCGAGTATAAATACATTTCCATTTTAACTCTGAGGATCCCTGTGCTGCATGGTAGTCATAAATTAATTGCCAACATGAGCACCCATTTTATGGGGGGAACAATGCCAGATGCTTGACTTACACATTATTCCATTTACTGTACAAGTAACTATGAGAGAGATCCTATTAGTGTTCTCCTGTCCCCATTTTAGAGTTCAGAATTTTAGGCTTAGAAAAAACAAACAACTTGCCCATGTGGCTAAAATGTAGCAAAGCCAAGGTTAGACCTAGGCTGTTTCTGAATCAAAGGAACTGGCTTCTAGCCCTGGCTCTATTACTTACTGACTTTCAACAAGTCACCCAACTTCTCAGTCTGTTATCTCCATCTGTAACACTGAACTATTACTGCTCTGCTTACCTCGCAGGGGTGCTCTCAGCAACAAACAAGGGCCAAAAAAGGGCTCAGGTAAGCCCCCTGCCTTAAAACAAAGGGCCACCCAAGAATGTAGACCGAAATCAAAGCCTATGGAACACTGAAAGGCCGTGGGGAAGCAACAAGTCAGTCCAAGAGGGCTGAGAGGCACTTATTGGTCTCAAATGTTCTAGACCCAACTAGGATCAGGTGAATAACATCAGAAAGTAACTCAGTGAACCCAACGCAGCATAAATGTTCTGAGCCTCTAAGACAGGCGTCCTAAAAGCTACGGCCCGCAGGCCACATGCAGGTGTTTTCGCCTGTTTGTTTTTTTACTTCAAAATAAGATATGTGCAGTGTGCATAGGAATTTGTTCATAGTTTTTTTTTAAACTATAGTCCGGCCCTCCAACGGTCTGAGGGACAGTGAAATGGCCCCCTGTGTAAAAAGTTTGAGGACCCCTGCTCTAAGACCTTTGGTGCTATCAGTTGCTATTCTCCAAACAGGTGTCACAGTATGGACTGCTGTTCAGCACACTGCAGTCCTCTCCCCCTCCCTCCATGGGCAGAGGACACTTCCCACCCCAGTGACATTGAGTTTGGCAATGTGGAGTTTTTTTCTCTGACCAGTGGAGTGTTAGTGACAAGAGGCCCTAAATGTGGCTGTGCTACCTGGCTTGGTTCTTGTGCTCTGGTGATCCTCTTTGAGGGCTTGTTGTAGGTAGCCCATACCCCTAGGGCGGGCACATGTGCAGTCGGCCTAACACCAACCCACATTTGGACCCAAGTGCAGGCAACCTGCAGCCTACAGCCCAGTAACCCAGCTGAAGCCTATCTAGATCAGCTGAACTTTGGTTGACCTATAGACCCATCAACATGAGAACAAATGCTCATATGCCACTGAGATGTGGTTTGTTATGCAGCATTACTATTGCAAAGTTTCCTAAGAGTCACTGAGATGAAATTGACAAAGGAGCCATCAGGCCTCAACTCCATGAGTGGACCTCTTCCAAAAGGCCACGAGCAGACTCACAAACAGACTCTCCACTAAACCCGGAGAGAGGGAGGGAGGGAGATGGGTGAGGAGGAATAAAATTCACAGATACCATGTACCACCCGCCTAGTAACTCCTTCCTGGTAACTGTCTTCCCCTCTTTACAACAGCAGGACAGAGGGTGCCGTGTTCTCCTGGCCACAGGGTGAGTGCCTGAGCCATGCATACTAAGTCCATGCAGACATTCCCTGAGATTTTCTGAACTAGAGCTGACAGTCTCTTTCTAGAGAAGAAGCTGTAAGATGTAATCAAGAGATACTAGTAAGCAAACGGATGACTCCGCTCTGTAGTGCCAGTAAAACATGCAAACAACGGAGATGAAAGACATGGCAACAGACGTGGCAACTAGACTATCTGGTTCTAAATTCATCCCTACCCTTCTGACACAGCTGGTTCACTCAATCCTTCCCTGGATTCCGTAAGACAACAGATTCTCCTCTTTGTTTAAAGGAGTTAGAATCAGATTTACCACTTGTAACCATGAATCCTAATACAATATCTTCTACCACTCAAAATAACTCACCTGGTTTGAGATGACAGAAACTGTATACTAAAAAATGGACAAAGGACAGTGAACATCACCTTCACAAACCCAGAAGACAGAACATAATCCCTTCAGTTCGAGAAGTCAAAAGACCTAGTGTGCCTCCCCTAACATCTCACTGTACTATCTGCCCTTCGGCCTATTCACTATCAGTTTGTTCTATTTATTTGGTTTTGAATACACTACAAAGTAAATAACAAATATCTGTTCCACTTCTCCTAAATACTTCAGTAATCTGGGATAGGATCCAAGAATGTGCATTTCTAGAAAGTTCCCAGATGCTAATGTTGCTAATCCAAGGACTATACTTTGAGAACCACAGGGCTAAAGCAACAAAAGGTCTCAGGTAAGATATGCCTGAAAAACACACCATCTTCAAGAATTAAAACAACCTGACAACTACCAGAAAGAACAGCTAAGGAGCTACACATGGGAAAGGCTCTAACCACTCTCCCTCAATAGCTGTTCAATACCCCTTATCCTTGGGGAATACGTTCTAAGACCCCCAGTGGATGCCTAAAACCCTAGTACCAGACCCTCTACATGCATTTTTCCCCATTTTCACAACTTTGTGGATAGAAGATTCGTTCTTACTGTAGATCTTAGCAACCTCAGCTGAAGTTTTTTCTTTCCTTATTAAGTTGAAAATTTTCACCTTTTTGCTTAAAGGAAGCACTTTAACGCTTCTCTTTGGCATATCTCAATGGACAGAATCACTACTCTGCGCTTTGTGGCCAGTGTGAAGTAAAATAAGGGTGACTTGAACACAAGCACCTTGATACTGTGACAGCTGGGTAACTGAAGCCTAGGAAAGCAAAACCACAGATAAGGGGGAACTACTGCTTTGTTTGTTTTTGTTTTAAAATCAGAGGTATTGATTAAGCCAGACAAAACCTAATGGAATGTAAGAAATACGAATGGAGAACTTGTCATGGGAAAGGTAAAGGGTCTGTCAGTATCTACCTGAGATTCTTAAAAAAAAATTACTTTGTTTCAGGGACAGCACTCCTAGAGTAGAAGCTTTGAAGATGGAACAGTGACTTCCTAGTTCCTGTAACCACATAGCTTGGCAATTATAGGCCAGTAAGTGTGCAATGAATAAATAGACTAGGTCTTGCCCTATCTTAAGATCTACTCTTAACTTCACAATTTTACTGTGAGGTAAGTAAAAGATTTCCACAACGGGTTCTGGGAGGAGAAATCACTACCCCGAAAAAGTCCAGGAGTAACAGAGCCTCCTAACCCTACAATCTTAGTCTTGTTAGAGGAGTCTCAAAAAGGGAGACAATTTCAGCACTTAACACAGATTACTTCAATGAATCCAAATAACCTTGACATGTAGGTCAAGCAAACTAGCATTTTACTGGGGGGACTGGGCTAAGGCATTAGGATCTAAAATAGGCGCCGAATCTCGTTTAATCAATGATGGAGTACAAAATAAGGGTGCTGTTTCTAAAACAGTTTGTCTTAATCCAACTGCGTACTGGGTTAGAGAAAAGGAACAGCTATAATATGCTGATGACTGTGTATTCAAACCATTCTGTTTATCGTCAGCTCCTTAGTGGCGAATAGAGAATGGGTGGAAATTCTAAAGCATTCTTGCTTACCTACCTGTTTTTCTCCATTGTCCTTAACACACTGCGGTTTATTTGTTATTAAGGGGCTTAAAGGAGTGCCACTTGGGAAAGACAGGGTCTAGGCTCTAAAATCTGTACCGAATCCCCAAGTTTAGAGAAGTGACTGGGCTACAATCACAACTAGTAAGCGCCCAGGCAGGGACCCAAACCCACGTGTGCATCACTCAGAAAGCTCTCTGTACCGCCCCAAGCGGTGTAATGCTTCATTGCTGAGATTTTTAAACTATCTTTTGTTTTGCGCTCGGCTTTGGAAAATCAAACCGCAACCTCAGCGGCCTCAGGCACAGCTCTGCTCCCCTCGGCCAGGCGGCCTCAGCTACCTTGGTGTCCACGTCGGCCAGGCAGTCCCGGCGGAAGCTGTCAAACAGGCCCCGGCTCTTGAGCTGCTCCACGATGAGAGCGATGAGCTGCGGATCGCCAGGCGGCAGCGAGGCCGGGTTGATGGGGCCGCCGCTCCCGCCGGCCCCAGTCGCGCCAGTCGCCGCCCCGGCCGAGGCCTGGCCCGCTCCGCCGCCGCCCACCGCGCCGGCTCCCCCACCGCCGCCGTCCGCCATGGCTGCGCCCGGGGCCCGCGAGGGACACCGAACGCGGCTTCTTCTCCGCGACGGAGGGCCTGGGTGGGGAGGAGGGGGCGGAGGAGGAGGCGGAGGACCCCAAGGAGGCAATGGCGGCGGAGACGGAGGTGGCGGCGGCGGAGACGGAGGTGGCGGCGGCGGAGGCGGAGGTGGCGGCGGCAGAGAAAGCAGGCTCTGAGGTAGCCGAGACGAGGATACAGGCGGCAGAAACCGCCTGCTCGATTCCTGGCGCGCTGCAGATGGCGTCACCTTTGACCTTTGCATTGTGGGGCAGGGAGTTTTCTGCAGCCATCTCCGGCTTTCTTAATATAGAGGCCTGGCCGAATAAAACTACAACTCCCGGCAGGCATCGGGCCCATGTGTCTTGGGTTCGCGGAGCAGCATGGGAGTTGTAGGCACAAGGCCCCGTGACGGTTGCAACCTTGGCAGGCCTTACCCGCCCACTCCCTGCAGCCCGCCCACTCCCTGCAGCCCTCCCACTAAATCAGCAAGTCCCAATTGTGACTGATTATAAGAATCTCCTGGGGAGCTGATTAAAAGAATAGAGTACCAGGCCTATCTCTTAAAGATTTTGATTCAATATTAATGGGTCGGGGCCTAGGCATATGCCTTTAGCATAAACTCCACGTCCTCCTTCAACAATATGATCTGGGAATTTGGGAAAACAATGAACTAGTTAAATTTACATGATTCAAAAATTTGCGTCTTTCCCCCCTTTTTGATTTTAATAGCAATGCATACTCATTTTAGAAAACTGGAAAATAAGAGAAAAGTGTGAAGAAGGAAATAAAAGTCCCTTTAAGTCTCTGTGTATGGATTTCCTCCCAAATATCAAATATTGTCAATAATAAACCAATAATGAGTAATTGGAATATGCCAGGCCTCGTGCGATGTACTTTACACACACTACTTCACAACAATCTGAAAGGCAGGTACATACTACCGAGACCATTTTCTTACAGACACAGAAATGGAGGCACAAGAGAGTTTATTACACCGGTAACATACCTGGAGGCAGAAAAGTAGGATTTGAATCCAGGTTTCTGAAATCCAAATCTTGTATATTTAACCTCAGATATAGTACATCTTGAGAGCTAGCTGGTATCATACAATAGGTAAAGCTTTATATCCTGATTTTTTAAATAATTACAATTCACCATTGGAACCCCATGGTTGCCACAATTATCCTTTCTCCCTTTTATCTGTTTGCCCATTATTAGCTCAACTCCTCTCCCAGCCCTGGCAATTATGTCTGCTGTTGTTATTTCTTCATTTTAAATAAGCAATGGAGGGCTATAAATAATAAATTCTGCAATATCCTTGGCTCCTGGGAAGATGCAGAATAGCAGATATCCAGGATGCTCTCCATGTGATGTTTATGACTCAGAAGAGTTTAAATTAGCCCTCAAAATATTCAGGTGTTAGATTGTACTCATCCTTTAACGTCAGCTCAATCATCCTCTATGGTTGAATTAATGACAAACATTCCTAATAGCTCAGCATCCTTGAGATTACCTAATGTCTATTCTTATTAGTTGACCCCACAATGATCACTCACCTTTAGCCCCAGGAGAAGCCCACTTCAAGCTGCCTTGGCCTCAGGTTCATTCTCCTCTAAGCTCCCTGATCACTCTGACTAGCCTCCACTCCATTTTTGGCACAACACACCTTACTCTCTTTTCTCAGGAAAGAATTTTCTGAGGCCCAGACTTAATCTGATCTTTTTTCACTGTTATAGAGTCTCAAGGCCTCATTCTTGTAGCAATTATTATAATTGAAAGTGAGCAATTTATAGGCTACTTGGCCTCCTGTTTCCCCTGCCAGAGTCAAAGGTTTAGATTAGGGACCATGATTTGTTCATCGCTGTGTCTCTAGCTCTTAGCACGATACCTAGCTCAAAGTATATTCCTGTCTGTTTCCTATTGTAGGATGGGGATGTGTGTGTGTGGGGGTCATTCGTAGCCAGAAAAGAGAGTTATAGCAGGAGATTATGGATGAATCTATCATGAGCTAATGGGTAAGTGATCTAGGAGATTGGCAGCAGATGGTTCACACTATGGCAATCTCACTGTCTGTCACAGGAACCCTGTGTCCTGGTCGCTGGGACTCTGAATTGTGAGAAGCTGCTGCACCCTATATCCATGGCCTTGCCTCTGGAATTGAGGCAAGGGGGTAAATGGGGTGGGATGAGGGCCTCAACTATATCCAAAATGTGTTCCGTGTCAAGGGACATGTAATACACAACAATGACCAGCAGGCGACACCATTGCTGTATTAATAATCCAGAGCATTTGGCAACGTCTGTGCAGAATATTGTTTTACTTTGGCCTAGAGGCAGCAATCTCATTTTCAGGTATCCTTTAGGTAACAACCCGTTGTTGCTTCTCGGTGCTAAAACTTGTCTGTAACAAGTTGCCTGAGCCCAGTGGATTACCCATAGGTGCTGTAATGCTTTATGTCAAAGACTACATGAAAAGGTATAACCTCCACAAGCCCAAATCCAGACCCCACAGAAACCAGAAAAGAAATGAGATCTATAGTTTGCCAAGGAGGATATGAAAAAGTAGTCCGATGCATGGGATTTTGGAGATACAACTGGGAAAGTTGTATCACCTCTATGAACCTTACTTTCCCCAAGATGATAGAGAGGACTAAGTGCCAGTTTGGAATCTATTTTAGCACAATTCCTGATCCTTAGCAAACACATGATAACACACCATCGTCGTGAATTTACATTTGGGTCAGGATCTGTTTAACCTCTATTTCCCCCACTAGCCTCTAAATTCCACGAAGGCAGGGCTCGTCTGTGGCTTCCATCATCTCGTGCCTAGCACCTAGAATACTGCCCCAAACATCAGGCTCTCCGTGAACATATGACAGGTGAATGGGAAAAAAAATGAGTGAGTGAATGGGAAATTTGCTCTTCTAAAGTATAGAATACGGCTGTTTAAGACTTTCAATACGCCCTGGACCAAATGTCAGATTATAGTCAATATTCAGAGGAGTCAGGTATTAACACAATCTAGTAATCTGTCCATAATATATGACAAAACTGGACTTCTGAGGCTCGGAGCAGACCCACAGTTTAGAAGACAGTTTGTACGTTGCCTTGGTGACCTTCCAAGCTTCTAACCTGAGATCCTGGTCCTTAAGCAAGAACATTCTAGAGCCCTAAGACTGAACCCAGGGCTGCATTTAAACACCACACCCACTTGGAGTAAACTAGTTATTGGTCCTTTTTCTTGTTCATGGGCAGCTCTTTTTCTTCCTGCCTCCATATAGTCACCCAAGGAGACTTGCCAATTCTTAGGCTGGACAGCTGTTCATTTCTTAATGAACAGCATCCAGAGTTCCTTGAGATTGCCTGTCTGTAGTATATTAGCTATATCTGCACCATCTAATCTCTGCTCCTTTTGTTTGCCTGTTTGTTTCTTTCTGATATTTTCCAGCATCTCTAATGACAGACTGGATCCAATACAGACTAAGAAATTAGGGCTTAAATCAGCAGAAGTCCTCAGCACCAATCAACACCACTACCATTTCTCTGACCAAATACACATCTTGTACAAGATTTCAGGCTGCACGTTGTCGCTTCAAGTTATTATTACCAAAGGATGTCAAGCGAAAGAGGCAACCTGATATAATATACAGAAAAGAGTGAGAAGTTCGGCATCTGGTTTGGGTTTGTATCCAACACCTCTGCTTATCGGTTGCGTGTCCTAGGATAATCCATTAGCAATCTTAGCCTTGGTTTGCACATTTGTAAAATGGAGATAATAATACCTACCATGCAGGGTTGCAATAAAAATTAGAGATAATACATATGCAGATCCTGGCACATACTAGGCCCTCAATAGGTAATAGCTAATAATATGGCCTTGATATAACATCCTAATGTATTCAATTGTGGTGCATTATTGGGCAGGAATCTTGGCTAATGTCTATCTAGAGTTAACACTAATAAATATATTAATATTACTCTGATGGTTTCGATTTTGTGGTGATGTAGGGAACCACTCAGCCAGTCGCTAAACTGGTAGACTCAGTGACTTGGCCAAGTTCACAGTCAAGCCCTGCGTGCTGTTGCTGCTGGAGTCTGGGTCCATCCTCTACCTCTGTCTTCACACTTCTACATCTCTGTCCTCCAGTGACACTCCTGATTCCCCCATTTACTTCTAGTTGCCTACTTCATATTGATTTCCCCTTTATTAACAGAACCTAATTTTGTTTGGGGTTGCAAGCATGTCTGGTTAAGGTATACACATCTCTGTATTGCTTTGTCGGTCGGGCTGACCATGAGGCCCAGTTCTGGCCACAAAGAGAGCAGCTGAGGGTTTCTGTGAAAGCTTTGCCTCACTGGTAGAAGCACCCCTCCTTCCTGCTGTAGCATCCCTTCTTCCTGCATGGAGGTACAGCAGTCATGAACCAACACCCTAGGGCTTAGTTGGGCCATGTGACAAGTTCTGGCCAATGAGTTGTGAGCACAAGTGACTTGTGTCACTTCTGGGCCAGGACATTTACATATCAGCCTGATACCCTCCAGAGCTCTCTTTCCATCTGCCATGGTAACCAGGAAAATTTGAGACAATGACTGATCTATCACCCTGGGCTGCAAAGTGAGAAGAATGTGGACCAGAGGCCCCAGCTGACCCATCATGTATAGGAAGGATGAGTGGGAAATAAAGCTTTTGTTTTACACCACTGACATTTTGGAGTTGTTTGTTATAGCAGCATCACCTAGCATCACCTGACTGACCCGGCCCTGACCACATTCCTCCACTAAATCCATCATGTGGAATGGCCAAATAAATATGAAAGCTAATGAGTGAACTAATGCATGAATGAATTAAACTTCTTCTGTGGGGCCCAGCCCTTCAGATAATTTCTAGGAATGACTTTAAATCAACCTGGTTTACTATGTGTCGCTTTTTAGACACCTTAGGTCAGTCCTCCTTCAACTTTGGTGTTGATCAAAATTCCCTGAGGACCTCATTAAAAAATGTATATGCTCAGTCATCCCCCTAAACCTACGGAATCAATCTCTAGAGATGGGCCATGGCCATCAGCATTTTCAAACAAGTTTTCTAGGGCTGCAGTGCCCAGCCCCCAGGCCACAGGCCAGTGCCAGTCCATGGCTTGTCAGGAACTGGGCCACATAGCAGGAGGACAGCAGGCGAGCAGCGAAGCTCCATTCCCGTCACTCACAACGCA